GTAGGCGATGGTGGGCCCGACTTGCACGAGAGCCACTATGAGCAGTGCAGATTGCAGAAGCGTCGTGTAAATAGCCGTTGGCTGTACTCCGTACGAAGTAGCCCCTTGAGTAATGGATTTCGGAGGCACACCTCTGCTCCTGGCGCGCTCTGGTTTGCTGCCAGAACGGATATCATTCCAGGCTGGGCGGGAGACGGAGCAGGATCAATATCGAACAATTACCATGTGATAGTTGAAAATTGGGTGTAAGCAGCAGAGGCCTTACCGACAAGCAGCTTGCCAGCTTGCACCAATCCTTGTCCCCCGTGTAATTGAGCATGTTGGGATTGGTCCTCGGGGATCTCGATGGTCTCAGCGTTGGGTGGAACTGGAACATCGATAGGTAGTCTCCACGATAATCGGGATTCTGAAAAGTCGATGGAGCTTTGTTTCCCAGTCCACATAATCTCACAATGGCCGGCATTGATGAGTGCTTCCACCACAAGGTGTCCATTCGTTGCGAAGATTCAACAGTCGAGAGTGAATCAAGACTGCCCTGGCGTGTGCTGAAGTTCCCGAGGTACGTATCCCTGGAGAGAGAGCAGGAAGTTGCGACTTGCGAGAGCAAAGACCGGGGGATTCATCCATCTGAGTGGGGTTCTATCAGTACGTACCAATGAAGCTCTGCCATCGCGACAAGGCCCTGCCCTGGACTGCAACCATCTCAACAAATTTGAACCCCAACAGAAAATTTCAAGGGCAGCAAGTAAAAATAAAAATAAGAGAGTAATAGAGGGGAAAAGGGGAGTAACTGATCTTCACGGCGCTACTTAGAGAAGCGAAGCAGGCAAAAACCGGACCCTGGAATGCCATGATGCTTCCAGAAGACGGCGTTCCCACCCTTGTTTCAGGGTCTTTGCGTCCTGTTCAAGCAGTGAGCTGTGGAGGTCGTAGAGGATAGAAGTCGAGCGACTCGATCCTAGGTCGTTTCATCCTCTGTCTCGCGGGTTTGCCATTGGCAAGTCGAGTCGAGTCCAGTCCAGTCCAGTCCAGTCCAATTGTCGTCGTGTCCCTCATCGGCGTCTCCTTGTGCATGGCAAAAATCTAGTGTGGAAATTGAATGCCATGCGAAGCGATCCAGAAAAGTTGCTAGCTGGCGAGAGACTCTTCTTTGGCCACTGTCTTCCTTGGACGTCGTCGACAAAAGCGAGGGCGTCAATTCAAGATTCAACCCCCTTCCCCAGCTGCGGGCCCTTGATTGGCTAGCCGCGTCAGCAACTTGCTCTACTCCCGATTGGCTGGAATAAGGTAGGCTGAAGACATTGTCGGCCAATCGTGAGGCTTCAGTCTGTCGCGTCTTCCCAGTCTGCTCTGCTTTCCGCTGCTTCGTTCGTGGGGTTGAAAGAATGGGAACAGAAAAGATGGAGGACCGCTTCCACCCTTGCGTGCAGAGGTACGTATACTTTGCTCATCCCTGTCATCCCACCGAGAAGCGTGGGGAACCCGGGTACGTACTGCCGTCCCCGAAGGCTGAGAGACGGCGGACACCTTATCGATCGTATCCCCAATCATTCCTGAATCCTGTCAACAATTCAAAGTCCAACACGTTGGCCCTGGTCTACTGCGGCGCAAGAGCATTCTCCGCCGTGTACTTATATCGACACTCGCCCCAGGGACATCCCACAATGAAGTAAAATCTCCTGATCGCGAACTGGTCGGAGTAAGTCGGCGGAAAGAACTTCTCAACGCATGGTGACCAATGTACAGAGTGACTGCTGCGGTACGATTTCCGAGCATGTGGTGAGATCGAAACGGACAAGAATTGCTGGTGCTGGTCGAATGGTGCAGGGTTTGGGGCGGTTATTGATCTGACTCGATATTGGCTACGCTGCCACACCATCACTGTCTACGACTGGAGGATTTTCCGATCTGAATCTTGCCCCGAACAAGCGCCATCTTCACATGCACGGACGAACGCCGGTTTGTGCCAAACGTAGACGGTAGGCTCGACATTTGCGGGAGTGACTGGTGGGCGGGGGGTGGCTGCACCACCTTCAAGAACAAGGCCAATCGATATTCTACGTGTTGCATGTTTGCTACAAGACAAGACGTCAGAGAGCGCAAGTATGACCCGGGAGGCATAACGGGAGCGGCAGGACGCCTGGTGCAGCTTGCTCGGCAAATCAGCTTCGACTTGCATGGTGGTGTCTTGGATACCGCCAGCCCGTAGGTCTGAAGGCCTGCGTACCAATGCAGTGACAGCATAGGCTGTCTTGCGCAAGATATGTCCAACTCGGGTCTCCGAAGAGGCTGTCCTGGGATCTGCAGGCCTCCGATGGAAACGGTCAATACCTGCAGGATTGTGTTTGATTCCGATGGCCAACTATCGAGGCCATCCGGGTCCGATTGAGGGATCTGGCATTCTGCTGCTGCTGCTACTGCTGATGATGATGATGATGAACCATATCGACTTTGCCACAGTCTGGCTCTGATCTGCCTCACAAGGAGTCCAGCCGGCTGGCTTGAAGGGCGGTGAGGTTAGAGCATGGCCAAAGTGGACCACAGGTAAGGGTAAGGGTGCATTAGCATGAGCCAGGCGGGAGTGAGGCACGAGGAGGCAAGCCGCAAAGTGCTTGAGAAACGGAGGGCCAAGGGAGGCATGGAGCGAAGAGATACGGTTCAAAGTCTCGGTACTCCTAACCCCGTGGAGGTATGTCGGTGCCGAAAGGTACGGGTACCTGGTAAGAGCTCCAGAAGAGAGCTCCAGACGACAAATAGGTAGGTAGACAGCGGACATGGTGCCTGTCTCGCGTTGCAATGGAGCGGTCCATGTGTTGCCCTGCCAGGCATGAATTTGCCTCTCAATAGGGGTGGATTTGCTGCTGGGAGCTGGAACATGACCCAGATGCAAACAGTGGCAATGGCGGGGACGGTGAGAGGATCCAGACTGATGCAAATACCGTCGCGTGTCAATAGCGGCTCTGAGGTAGGCTCAGATGTCAAGTCGGAGAAAGAGGAAAAGGGCGAAATTCAGCACGGTCAAGAATCAGATTGCCTTGCCTTGAGTCTGTGCGGTAAATGCAGCATTGCAGCGTGGGCGAGGAACGGTCAGTGGAAGGCACATTTGCGCGAGGTACCTTACTGTACCTCGCTGCAAGCTGCGTCTGATGCAGCTGGACTGCATAGGTCGGCACGTTGGGTTGGAAGGTAGCTGTTACAATGCGTTTAGGCAAAGGTGAGTCTGAATGTTGGCGAATGGAATCTTGGTGGATGTAGATGTACAACGAAACACGACTGATGCATTCCCAACTTTCATTCTTTCCTTCCTTTTCGCCTTACACTAGACTCAGGTACGTACCGGACCAAGACCCTTCAGACCGCCGACTTCGTCCCAAAAATTCTTTTTCAGCCGATCTTTTCCCTTCCCCTCTGGTGCGGAAGAAAAAAAAAAAAGGTGTGCCTTCTCCAAAAAGGTTTGGGAAAGCCGCAAGAATCTCATTCATAGTCGGCGTCGCCAAGCTACACATCCATCAAAAAACGGTAGGCCGGGTTTTGGCTTGTGAGTGTCGTTGCTGCTGTGGGCAGGCGAGCAACTCCTGTTATCAACAACAGCCGAGGAAACGGTCGATTACGGAACCTAAGTATCTCACAAAGTATGCTCCTATCCCTCGATATAATCGGTACCTGAGTAAGGTACCTTATTCAATGGCATTTGACATGACCAAAGCCCGTGTCTGAATGTCTGAACGCCATCTGGACACGCCCCTCCTGCCTTGCGGTGGTATACATGCAAAACCTTCCTTACCTAATGATACTCCGTATGGCGTATGGGAAGGAATAGCTTCCAGTTCAGATACTTCCATGACCAGGAGCAGGTTCCAGCTTCGGTATTTCCTTCCGTCCGGCCTCTCATGGGATTCGGAAAGGCTACCTGAGGTAAGGTACTCGCATAGGTAAGGTAAGGTAGGTAGGTAGTCGCGACTCTACGGAGTACCTTAGCCCATATATGGAAGGAGGTGGGGAGGAAAGATACCTCTTGACACATGATAAGTGGTGCAATAATCTTGTACCTCACCCAGGCAGTGGATGTACGGGTTACTTGACTTTCTTGCCTCCTCCTTCCTCCACATCGTCCTCCTTTGGTGGGTAACTCAATCAACATCGAGGCCCAGCAGAAAAATCCAACAGCAATTGTAAATGGAGCAAAGCAACCGACCACCACACGGAACGACTTGACACGAGCACATTTCATTGCTTCCACACCCCCGGTGCCCCGGTGGCCCCCCATCCCCTGCCACGCATTTCGTCCCTCCCGTCCCTGGTCCTGCTCTTTCTCCCCTTGCACCGTGCCCTGCAAATCCCCGCAGGCCACAAGTAACCAAGCTGCCTCTCTTTCCCTCTCTCCAGTTCGTCCCCAACAAAAACGGAACCGAGGCCAGACAGACCACCTCACACAGCATACCTTACACGGTAGAGCACAGAACAGCACAGCACAGCACACCTTCGGCCACCACCACTACGGACACCAAGCAGACCTCCCTTCAGTTTAATACAGATGGTCCAGTTTACCTGCACACCACTCACTCCTCCGAAAAAAGTCACAGGGGTCTCCTTTCGCTCCATCCGTTACGGTACCTGACCGGCCACTTGTCACTACTCGGTACTAGCGAGCCAAGGCCCTGGAGAGACACAGTTGACAACGGGTCCCGTCCCGACCCATCGTTTGCTAACTATTTTGTCTTTTCGCCTCCGCCACGACCCGATACCGACCTGAGGTTTTTCCCAGAGTGCCTTCATTTATTACTCCCCTCCCTTCCTCCTGTTCCCGCCTGTGATTCTTGATTCTTGTTCCCTCCCTGCGACCCAATTGGTATCCCTCTCTCTTCTCCCAAGGGCCATTGGAACTTGTCAACCGTTCCTCTGAGTGTATTCATCCAATACCGAGGCAACAACATCACCAAGCTGCTCCCATACTCCCTCCCTCTTCTCTTCCTAGAAGCAGCACCATAATACCAGCCGCCATGGCTTCCACCACTTCGTCTGCGCCGGCCGGCCAGAACCCCGTTCTCCGCCGCACCGTCACCAGCAACACCACCGAGACCGACGCTTCGGTTCCTTCCACTGCCATGGCTTCACCCGTGGATTCGCCCCGTCCTTCTGCTTCGTCGACGTCCTTGTCGTCTATGGCTTCTGACGATGCCGTCCTCGAGAAGAAGGCCAATTACACCAAGCTGTACGACACCTACGGCAACGAGTTCACCCCTCCTGATTTCACTATCAAGGACATCCACAACGCTATCCCCAAGCACTGCTTCGAGCGTTCTGCCCTCAAGGGATACGCCTACATTGCTCGCGATATCCTCTGCCTCGCCACCACCTTCGTGATTTTCCACAACTTCGCTACCCCCGAGTACGTGCCTTCCAAGGCTGTTCGTGTCGTTCTCTGGGGCATCTACACCATTCTCCAGGGTCTCTTTGGAACCGGTCTCTGGGTCATTGCCCACGAGTGCGGTCACCAGGCCTTTTCGCCCTCCAAGACCATCAACCACGCCACCGGCTGGGTTCTTCACTCGGCTCTCCTCGTCCCTTACTTCAGCTGGCAGATCTCCCACAGCAAGCACCACAAGGCCACTGGCCACATGGAGCGTGACATGGTTTTCGTGCCCCGCACTCGCGAGCAGCAGGCCACCCGCGCCGGCCGCTTGGCCCACGAAGTCGGCGAGCTGGCTGAGGAGACCCCCATCTACACTCTCCTGATGCTCATCGCCCAACAGCTCGTTGGCTGGCCCAACTACCTCATGACCAACGTCACCGGCCACAACTTCCACGAGCGCCAGCGTGAGGGCCGCGGCAAGGGCAAGCACAACGGTGCCGGCGGTGGTGTCAACCACTTCGATCCCAGCAGTCCCATCTTCGAGGCCAAGGATGCCAAGCTCATCATCGCCTCTGACATTGGCGTAGGCATCACCATGGCCGTCCTCACCCTGCTCGGCAACAAGTTCGGCTGGTCCAACCTCCTGGTCTGGTACTTCATTCCCTACCTCTGGGTTAACCACTGGCTCGGTAAGTGCCCACAGTCTCGTTTCGAATCTTGTGGCTGTCAGCTAATTTTCCTTGACAGTTGCCATTACCTTCCTCCAGCACACCGACCCTACCCTTCCTCACTACACCGCTGGTGAGTGGAACTTCGTCCGCGGCGCCGCTGCCACTATCGACCGCGAGATGGGCTTCATCGGACGCCACCTCCTCCACGGCATCATCGAGACCCACGTCCTTCATCACTACATCAGCACTATCCCCTTCTACAACGCCGACGAGGCTTCCGATGCCATTAAGCCCGTTATGGGCAAGCACTACCGTGCTGACGTCAAGGATGGTCCGGTTGGCTTCATCAAGGCCTTGTACAAGTCTGCGCGCATGTGTCAGTGGGTTGAGCCTAGCGCTGAGGCCCAGGGCGAGGGCAAGGGTGTCTTGTTCTTCCGCAACCACAACGGTCTCGGCACTGCCCCTATCAAGGGTGCGGTGAACTAATTGATGGAATTGAGCGACTGAATGAAAAAAAAAAAAAAAAGAAAGAAAGGTCGTGTCTTCTCATGAGCTGGTCCACCATGACCCTCTCTGCATATGCTAGTGTAAGACTTTAGCGATTCGTATCGCCAAGTTCTTCGGGCTCTGGGTCTGGCCGTCGAGTCTCGCTAATGTGCGATCTATCGAGGGCGTTGTGGTAATGTCGAATCGAGCACGGGAGCCCAGGAAGACCTGGAGACGGTACAGAAGTTACAGTGCAAAAACACTGGCAAGGCGTTAGCATTTTTATACCAGTACCGAATGGATAGATCCATAGACACAGAAGTCAAAAGAAAGAGAGAGAGCAATAGAATGATAGCTTCCGAACATTCCGGTCACACCGCCACATCTTGACAAGCTTGTTCAACGTGATGAACATGCTACTTGCTTCCAATATCAAGCAAGCACCGGGACAAGGTTCGAACCGCGGTCGTCTCGTCGCTCTCAAGCACTCCGTACCGGGGTCGCGCTGCTTCGAGACGATGTGCATCTGGGAGATAGCCCAAGAGCTGGAAGAGTGCACAAGGTTCGGTTCAATTCATCCTGATCGCGGAGAGAATGCGGGGTGCGCACGCGACCGGGCGGACGCCGGAACGCTCTCGAACCCGGACGAGCCAATGAGTGATCATCCGATGGTAACAAAAGGCAGGCAGACCTGGGGTCCCGAGACGGGAGGGAGGAGCTTGAGATTGTGGCTTGGGGCAATATGGACCGTGAGCGCGCGTCTATGCGGTACTCGGCGTTAGTGCGTAGGCGTGCATTTCGTGGGGATTTGCTAACCGAGATGACATTGCGATTCTGCCGTACTGCCGTTCCGACCGCTCCGGGATTGCGCGGATCCGAAGGTGGAGAGAAAAGAGGGGACCGGAGTGCCGTTTATGGCTCCGAGGCCGGTGGTGTGCAGGTGTTGTTATTTTGACGTCTTGCTTGCTTTTCGCCGTGTGTTATATGTTTGCTATAGGTATTAGCAGCGGTCATGGGTGAAATGTGTTCCACGCACCGAATATGACCTGCTGGTGTGGTCGATGGATACATCTACCATCAAAACACCCTCATTGCATAGCTCTTTAGCATAACCTTGCAACGTAGCCAATGTTGGCCGATGTGAAGAAATAATATAGGTTTTCACAGAATTTTGGGATTCCCATTTCTGCATTGCGGTCAAGAAGAGAGTGCTCTGCTACCGTGAGGCTCTGGTATGGAATATGGCAAACCAGAATTTGTAGTAAATTGTCTCCTGTGACTTTGTAAACCCGTCCAAGAGGAATTCAGATGGAGGCTACCTTGGACTTGAGTCGGCTTCGACGTGTCACGCGATTACAAGGTATAGAAGAATTTACACGATTCTGACTACCTTTTTCAGGTAACAATCGCACGCAGCATATGAATCATCGAGCACTTCTCCTCTCTCTGCTGTAGCAATGTTCCTACCGAATATTTCCCCCGAGGTCTCTGAGCTCTCCGCTTACCATGTCGGGCTCTTGACATACAGTACTACTTTTGCGATGGGCCACTCTAAAGAGGTACCTCAAGTAACAATCTATAGCAAGTGCGATATTTGCCTATTCCAAAACTGGTCTATTAATCATGTCTCTGGATTCAATGTTGATGTTTGTCGATGGTCTTCCCGTTGTCTTTCCTTACGCAGTGTATCCACTACTGTGTTGAACTGTCACAATGCGAGGCAGCATCACCCACCTTCGTCATACAGAATATCAAGACCGCATGCATAACGTTGGTACGCGGAAGAGCGTTCTTGAAGTTCAGAGGAGTACTGGTATATTGTAAATACTGGGAGGCTAGTCAGACTAGAAGTTCGGATATGATATCCAAGATGGTACTTATCGTGCCTTGATAATAGCATGTCGCAGCTGAAACTGAGATTGACTTCTTTCTGATAGCTGCCCGTACACTTAGAAGGCTATCATGGCTCTTTGGTTTGAAGACAGCAAGCAAGATTGGAAAGTTAGTGGAAGGATTAAGGAATTCTTCGTCCAAAGTAGGAACTTTATTCCAGCAGAGGAGAGATTTTTGTGCGTGAGAAATCGTCAGGAAACTTGACAGAAAATGCCAAGTTTGAGAGGCTTGAAGACCGCTGGTTTGGCCGTGATGGTACAGGTCTAATCAAACCTAATAGGTTCCACGATATAGTAACAAATTCTACTAGATACGACCGTAACGACAATAAGATACTGGACTAAAAGAAGATGCTGCAAAGAGAAAAGGTTGACATACACTAGATGCCGATCGGACGTATACCTATTGGATTTGGAATGTGCAGTCACAGTAGTTGTAGGGAGTTTCTACCCGTCAACTCGACGAAAACAATGTGTCAACAGGCTCTGGACCCTGTGTCTAAACCCGCCACTTTGTAAGCTAGCAATCTCCAAGTCCGAGCTGATCTCAAGTGTCAACAGAAACTTTTTGATCAGTGTTCTCGGCTCTGGGCTGCATGGTGTCTCAGTCACGGCGGTTGAAGGCGTGGACCGCGTGGTTCTCAGCAGGAAGAAATTCTCCGTCTTCAACGATGCTCGTGGTTCTTTTGCGTGGGCCTAAATTTGAAAGCGCCGTAAACGCGTACGACGGGTGAACATGTTTGATGGATGCGGAAAGTAAGGACGTCTTGGGACAGCACATCGTTTTTTTTCTCTCTCAAATAACGGGCCTACTCTAGTGAGAGTAACGCCCGTCAAATGCACGACACGTCGGAGTGGTTTCCGAATTTCCCTAGGGTCCGGGCCTCTATTCGACTTCTCTAGTCTGTGGAACCACATTAGTCTTTCCATCAGTATTGGAGGGGGGGGGCGAAGAAGAGGTTTGAACTGCATGCGGAAGTGAAGAAAGCCATGCTTACGACCCTCATGGCAACAGAGAAAGAGGATGCCATTCGGAGAAAGCGTTTTCTCACGAGGGACTAACGTGGGCCGCACGAGGCGGGAGCGGGTCTCGACCGTCCCATTGCTGACAGCGCTGTGGCGAGAAGATCCATAGCTCTCTGGAATTAGTCGAGAAAGACCGTCGTCTGCCTGTGGACGGTAGGATGGATGACAGCACCGAGACATTGGGGCCGGCGGGCTTCCAGTCTCGAGGCCGCCGACTTGTTAGATTGGCCGCTTTGTCGGAAGAGGCAACGTCTCTCCGCGCCCTAGAGATTCGGTAGTTTGTTGGCGCAATATTAGATTGACTTGACAGGTGCTAGAGTTGACTACTCGATTGAAGTCGTCCACGATCCGCGGCAATCGGAGTGGGATAACTAGTATGTCGGCGGCGATCTGAGACTATTTTCCCGTCCGCCCCGGGCATCGGCCAATGTGACTTAGATTTAGGCCGATATCCTGTACACCGAGAGTCGGCGAGAAATTAATGGTTGAAATGAGGACCACACATGGATGGGAGGACTTTAGCCCAGCCTCAGAGAGGGGAATTGGGGGAGGTGCCCATCGACCCCAGAAGAGTTAGTCCTGGCCAGTCCGAACACGGCACATTCGTCTGAGACATCTTGACTTGGACGTTTCCCATGCTTACTTACACAGGCCCTTCCAGAACAATGTGATTTGCCTCGTCGTCACACTCAGCTGGTTGGCCAAGTCCCGCGCAGACCATGCCTAGGCCACGTTTTCGAGACACGTTATTTGAGACGTTTGCAAAGGAGTTCTCGCGTGACAGGGCGCCTGGATTCGCCAAGCAGACGTATGCTTAGGACCACGTCACGATAGGGATGTCATACTGAATCAGGGAGGGAGGAAGTAGGAATTGACCCAACAGTTTGCAATAGTTTGATCAGTGGTGTAACGAGGAAACGAGAAAATATCGATATCGTGTGACTTGACTAACTTCCCGAGACGTCCTAACCAATCGTGACATCGATCGTCTCACTTTCGAATTCACCCGTCAAGACCCCTTCGCCAAACTGCAACTTCTCAAGCGTCGCCTGGCTAAGCTTGTCCGCCGTCGTGGGCCAAACAACCTGCCATTTGCCCTTGACAGCCACCCGTGCCGTCTTGCCGAGCGAATCGAGCGCCACGATGGGCTCCTTGAGGACAATCTCCTGCTCCTGGCTCTCACCGGGCTGGAGGGTGACGAGGTCCTCTGGGCGCGGCGGCATAATCCGGCGCAGCTGAACAGTGTGGACCTCGATCGGTTCGCTCTTGCCCTCGGGCGTGATGGAGACGAGGCCGACTTGGATGGCGAGGGGGTCGAGGGGCGTGTTCCAGCGGAGGATGGTCAGCGGGGCGTCGTGCTTGTTTTCTACGGAGAAGGATAGAGTGGGAGGGTTTTCCGACGTCTGACGGATGCGGAGGGCGAGCTTGGATAGCGCGCCAGCGTGCTGGTTTTCTTGCGCCATGGTGTCTCGGGAGGAACCGCTGCGATTCCAGGTTGAGAGGACGAAGATGAGGGCTACGATGAGGACAATGGGCCGAAAGAGCGAGCGGGCTTGGAGATTGCTCATCGATCCTGGCGGCTGTTGGCGAAAGTGTAGAAGATGGCGGTAAGATGGCGGTAGGTGAAGGCGTGAGTGAGTATCGGCGGTCTGTTGCAAGCTCTTTTTCTCTCGAAATGTGTGTTATGTGGGATTGAGAAATAAGGCTGCCGTCCCAAGGCAGGCGAAGTGGACGTGGTCAGCGGGATGCGCCTGAAGCGGAACAGCTTCCTAAGGCGGGCAAGTGGCATGGAAGATGCCGGCTGACGTCAATTGATCAAATGCGGCCGCCTACCGGTGCCGCTGGGAAATGCCTTTTGTTATTTGAATGTCTGGCAAAGACCAGGAGGCAACGTGGGTGAATGGAATGAGTTTGTCGCGAGAACGCGCGCACTAAGCTTGAAATAGGAGGAAAAGCCGTCTGCCGAGGAATGCCCAGCGGCTTCAGCCACGCGAGTTTGGTTCCGTTCCTTTGGGACGGACGAAATGCCACGCTTGCTACGGTCCATGACTTGAAGCTACGAATTGCCATAGCCTTCTTGTG